GATTTAATTCTTTGTTTTTGTATATCTCTTTTTTTCTTGCGTCCCAATCTTGCATGTGGCAGACATTTTAGCCATTCAAAAGAATGCAAGAATATTTATTGCTCATCTTCAAAAGGCAAACGATAAAGTGTTTGTGTGTGCGTCAGTTTGTGTCTGTTTGTTGTTAAAAAAATCTCTTTAAAATTGATCTAGCTGATTATGAAACTCTGAAAGTATCTCTACAGCTGAATAACATTTTGTGTCAACCTGATCCAATGTAGCTGCYGCAGCCAGCTGGCCTTTACCCCTCCTCACAACACACAAATAACTAAACTCTGTCAATTTTACATAAATTAAGCTAAAATTTGTTGTCCTGGTAGCTAAGATTTATTCACAACACAAACTTTAAGCGTGAGATCTTGCAGTTTTGCAYGAGATTATTTCYGTGGARCTCTGTCYGCATTCTTGGCACAAAGTTGAGCTCRTTCTCAGCGCAGGTTGGACTCGGCCAGGGCTGTCCCTGTCACTTTATAGTGATAGATCATGTAGAGGAAAGGGTCTGGTTTGAAAAGCACAKGGTCTCGTCTTCGCTTTATGCAGATGATGTGATTCTGTTGGKGTCTTCGGGCCATGACCTTCATTGTTTTCTGGGGTGGTACGCAGCCAGGTGTGAAGCTACGAGGATGAGAGTCAGTTCCTCTAAATCTGAGGCCACGGTTCTCTGCCGGAAAAGGATGGAATAGCCCCTCCAGGTGAGGAGGGCTCTGCTTTAAGTGGAGAAGAAATATCTGGGTGTCTTGTTCACGAGTGATGGTAGGATGGAGTGGGAGATGGACTGACAGATTGGGGCCTCATCCTCAGTAATGAGGGTGTTGCTTTGGTTGGTTGTGGTGAAGAAAGAACTGAGTTGAAGGGCAAAGCTCTCGATTTCCTGGTCTGTTTACGTTCCACCCCTCACCTGTGGTCATGGCGAGCAGGAAGGTGTTGCTGGGGAGAGGGATGTCTGGGCTTCTCTCCTAGACCTGTTGCTTTCGGATAAACATCAGAAGATGGAGAGATTATTTGCATGGTTTGAGATTATCTTAATCTACAATTCTGGCATTAAAGGTAACGGGGCAAAATGGATTTCTTAAMGGAATTACAGGCCTTTAATTTATGGAAATACTGTACTTTACTGCATTACTGAATGTCCCAACTCGCATGTGTTGTGAAAAAAAAAAGTTTTCCATTGTACCTCTTGCACTTCTGGGTGCTCATTAGTTAATGCAGTCCTGGCAGTGTGACAGCGACATGTGCACCGTGTGCTGCATGTACAAACAGACCGGCTCTCCATCTGAAATTCTTCCTCTGAAGTTCCACCGCTGTGCTCCAGCTTGATCGAACCCATGGCCGCAGAGATTTTTCACACGTCAGCTCTGATTTCCCCGTTTGGCTCACTCTGGATAACATCCACTGCAGCGTAAAGAGATGAGAGATTCTTCCACCAAGAACTGTGTTTCAGTGAACACCAGCTCAGTTTCTGCAGCCACTTAAGCATGGGCGTTTGTTCAAACAGTTCACAACTCCCTCCCAGCATAAAAGAGAAACATTTTTCAGACATGCACAGCTTTCTTCTCTTAGGAATATTTTGAGTGTTACTTATAAAATATTGACTCTCCAGCAAACCCTTTGTATCAATGCCTGCTGATGTCAAATGTAAACTATACGTTTTAGAAACGGTCTGTATGGGTACATTTATAACCTCTATTGAATTTATGACTTGGATGTACATTTTAATTTTAAATAACCATTACCAGTCCCTGCTAGTGAAAAATATTAGAAATGTGGACAAGTGGAAAAAGATGGTTTGAAGCTTTTTTTTATTATTCAAACTGTATGTTTACTTGTGAAGAGAACAGCAGCAGGAGAAGATGTTTTTTTTATAAAACATTTGGTGACAAAGGCTGCATCCTGGCACTTCTATGATGTACAGAATTGTTCATTAATAATGCATCTTGTGACATCGCAAAACATATTAAAGTGTTGACATGACACTGAAATTCCCCATATCTGTATCTGACAGACTCAACGAAGTGCATTACAGCACATGTGTGTGTCTATGGTGTGCAGTATATATACTTAAAGCAAAAAGTAACAATATTTGTGTTGTTTGCTTTGTTGTTACAATGCTTCTTTGCAATGAGTATTTTACTAAGCACGTGTTTGGCAGCATCTGGTGTACCAGGAGCTCAAAACAAGTGTCAATATCAACAAAATAAGCTGTTTAGCAGAGGTTTGGTTAATTTTTCATGTGCGCAACCCGCATACTCTACTGCTCATCCCACAAATGCATGTTCCTTACAAATTGGCACAGTTTAAAAGGGAAAATAACAGTCTTCTAACAGTATGACTGAGTAAAATTTATTGACAAGATGCACTGTTACAAAAAAGAAATAATCCACCAAACACATATTTCCTTAATTTTTGTGCTAAACTCAATTGACATGGCAGCATTTTAGACAAGATTAATATTCAAGATGTAGATTTTTACAGTTACAGATTTGTTCCCTAGCTTTTGTAGCTTGTCATTAAAAATCAAACTGTAGAGTATTGACACCTTTTAAATCTGTTGAGAAGATAGGCATTGAAAATTGGCACACATAGTATTTTGTAAAAAAAAAAGAAAAGATTTTGGTACTTCAGGACTCAAAATAAGCCATGATATTGAGGAAACGATAATGTTTTGATACTTTTTTTTCTTGAACTTACAGTTTGATCAAGTTAACAACAGCAAGAAACAACTGAATAAAGATCTACAAGTCTAAAAGTGCAGATTGAAACAAACCATTAGGTTTGACACAGAAGCTACTGTGTAAACTCTGAAGATAATCTTGTAGAAATGCATGATTTTACCATGACGAGCCAATTTGTCTTTCTCCTCATCCAGAATGCCCTCCCATAGGACTGGAGACATTAAAGATCAACGATTTCCAGCTTCATGCTTCGTCTACAAAACGCTACGGCCTCGGAGCGCACAGAGGTCGCCTCAACATTCAGGTAAGGTTGAAAAGTGAAGAGCTGCTGCAGCTCAGCCAAGCTCCAAGGATTTGTTGGGGCTTGTCGTATAGCTAGCAGATCTCACCTTTTCATGGAGGCTTTCATGTTTACTAGAGYCATTTTTGCCCACTAAAGAGCAATGCAAGAGATATATGCTGGAGAAAAGACAGTATCTCTCACAGTCAGCACTGATTTAATGTCAAATTTAAACATCATGTGTGGATTACAGAGTCGCCTGGTTTTGGCTTGCTTCTCATAAATACAATGTTACCACCAAACCTGTGACTCATACTCAAACTTAAARAGTTCACATCTGTTGAAGTGGGATTCTGTGGAGGGTTATGAATAATTTTTATCTTACCTGTTGTAGATAGACCTTTGAATGACCTCAGATTGGAGGGAAWAAAAGCTTAATTCTGACCTGATTAAGAAGCTAATGTCTGAGACCCTTTAGTTTTCAAAGGGCTATGACCTCAAATGTTTCATGACAAACACTATTTTTTAAAACTTTTAAACACTGGTGTTTTACATTAATTTTTTTCATAAAAATGTCATACTATTCCCTCCAAAAGTGTCCCCAAAATTGACAAAACACATTTTTATGAGACGTGTGATTTTTTTAARTATGAAAACAAAACATTTTAGCCATTATAACTAGAGACAGTACTGGAATCTTGAAGTGGAAGCCGTAATGGTTGAGTGCCCATTTGTGATTGGATGCATTGCACAATTTTAAGACCCTCCCCTTTATGAAAAAGAATGGGACACTTGCCTGACTAAAACAAATAAACAATGTATCATGTTACACTGTGAAAGATAAATTGATGGCCGGTTAGTGAGTTAGGAGGATGTGTAATAAGGACTTTCATCGTTGGTACAGCCCCACATCCCTAGTGCACATTGGCTCCAAAAATACAACATGATTTTAGTTTTGGACAGTGAAAGTTAATAAAGACATTTAATTTATTTTTTATTTATGTCAGTGGTCATGGTTGCTCTTAAACTAACAATTAGCCTGTCTATGCTGTCAGATTTTAGCTTTTTTCTACAACCTCCTGATGCATCTCAGTAATCCAGGTAGAAGAAATCAAAAAGAAAAAACAAGTAGGTCCTCTGGATGGGTTCTTCTTTAGTGAAATGTTTCGTCTCTCCTCCAAGAGACSTCTTCAGTCTGATGAGTTTCAGGTGAACTCAGCCTTATAAGCCCTTCCTCAACCTGGACAAACAGGTTAGTCACATGCAAAAGAGGGCTATCGCCTAACAATAGGCTTGATTAGCTCTATTGTTCATAGAGGGTCACGTGCCCCATCAACTGACTTATTGGTTTGGATTCTTTGGCTCTGTTTTTTTGGTGTTTTGTTATGTGTGAACAAAAGTTGTGAATCAGGGCCCCAACGATACCCAACAAAAATAGGGAAAGAGAGACAAAAACCCGCTTGCACTCACTACATACACAACAAAACACCAAATAACCACAGCTGAAGCATCCAAACCAATAAGTCAGGTGATGGGGCACATGACCTTCTATGAACAATAGAGCTAATCAAGCCTATTGTTAGGCGATGGCCCTCTTTTGCATATGACTAACCTGTTTGTCCATGTGGAGGCAGTGCTTATAAGACTGAGTTCACCTGAAACTCATCAGACTGAAGAAGTCTCTTGGACGAGAGACGACACGTTTCACCAAAGAAGAACCCATCCAGAGGACCTACTTATTTTTTTCTTTTTGATTTTTTTCTACAACTTGAGTTTGTCCAAAGAGCTATCCACAACAAGTAAGATATTGATTGTTCATACATTTCCTCAGAATCTAGCTTCCAAAGAACCAAACTGTCCATTTAATGACAAAACATTGTTTAGAAGAATTGATATTTCCTGTTTGTTGTGCTTCAGAGGTACTTGGCTGTGCGCAAKCTGCACACAACCCTCATCTCCTCATGCTGACCTGCTCCAAATCCACTCGCACAATTAATAAAGCACACAAACACATGTTCTAAATTCAGTCAAGAGGCAGCAAACAACTAAACAAAGGGCTAGTTGTCTGTTGGGTATGAAAACTCATGTGGGTCCAAGTAAAAAGATCAATGGAGAACAGGAATTGTGTGTGGAAAAACAAAACAAACCAGATKAATTTGTTGATTTAGGCATTTCGTTTCTTTTCACATTTGTGTTGTGCCTGTTTCTGTTTGCATGCCAGACACCAACAGCACTGGAATAAATAACCTGATATTAAGATACAGCAGAGAAAAGACAGACTACCCAAGTTTCTGCTAAATGTTGCAGTAATCCCCAAAACAACCAAGTTTTTGAGTTTCTTCCAAAAGTGAAAGACAGWGCAACTTGTTTACGTGGCACAATCAAAGTCTGCTGCTGTTCATCAGAATCCTAAAAACAACTTCTTCACTCAGTTTAAAACAATAAGGCAAAGACTGAAGCATAAGAGTGCAGTAACTTGGCATGGAGCCACACCTCATTTTCCCAATCTCTTTAAGAAGGTATTATGATGACAGACGTGGGAAAGGCCAATCAAAGAAGTTTAAAGACGTGATTCCTAAAAATCAAACTTTTCCAGAGTGCTCAAAAGAAAACATACGTCTCAACAAAAGCATGAAAATGAAAAAAACACAGAGTTGGCTTCAGAAAAATCTTTTCAAAGTGACCCAGCAAGGGTCTAACTGTAAATGCAGAGCATCTCTGGTGAAGCCTGACAAATGTGTACAGCTGCTCCCCGCTCAGCCTGCTGGAGACGAAATGTTTCTGTCTGGAAGAAAAAATCCAACAAAAAGATTTACTAAACTCTGAGGATTATTTTCCAATAATACTCAAAGCTGCCATCACTTCCAGAGTCAAGTCTACTAAATGAGGGCAGTGAAAATTATTAAAAATACAAAACCCTGTTTCTTTCAGCACTTTGAACAGTTCACAGACAGAAGGGAAAAGGGACATTTATAAACCWGGAAAAGGCAGAAAAGTTTGAGCTCTTTCTTGTGGCAAAATGAATACAGTTTTAAACAACTAAGGTTTAAAAGATGCTTGTGTTTTTAACTCCAAGTGTATAATTTTGAAAATGCGTCGAGACCTGGAGCTTGGAAAAAAGGCAAAAAAATACTGAAAAATGTTTTTGTTTTGTTAAATCTGTGGAGACACATTGTTCTGTGACAGGCTAACCGAACATTAAACAGAACTATCCTGGCAGGTCAGTATTTGGAAATTTCATCCATCACTGCACAACAAACCAGTCAGTCCACATAATCTGGCCGGACCACGCTCATTAAATCAGTTTGCTTTTGAACACACATTAACATGAATCCCCTTGTTTTTGCTGTAATTCCTATTAAGAATCAGAACAAACCCGTTTGTGTAACACCTCCTCTGAAGTGTCAGTGTGTAAAGACATGGTTAAAGTGTTTTAAAAYGAGGTTCTGTTTGAATATCTGCTGTCAATGATTCATTAAACGTGACTCGACCCCCTCTGACCCACACAGGCCGGTCTTTACGAAGATGACCTGTACGACGGGGCCTGGTGCGCGGGCAGGAACGACCCACTCCAGTGGCTCGAGGTGGATGCCAGGAGGCTGACGAAGTTCACCGGGGTCGTCACGCAGGGCAGGAAYTCCCTTTGGTCGTGAGTAGGAGGCCCGCAGGCGTGCATTATGAGCTGCAGATTGAGGAAGTCAGGAAGTCCGGGTTGATCCCGAGGAATAATGTATGGGGCACATTTGTTGTGCCGTGTGGTGTTGTCTTTCTGACAGTTTGGTTTAATGTATTGTTCCATATCCAGGCACATCATTTCAAACAATTTGAAACCAAATCAGCCACGAGTGGAGCATTAGGGCAACTAATTCAAACCCAAACACAGTGAGCTGCCAAGCATCTAATTGCATGTGGCACAAATCTAAAATGTCTTAGACATAAGCACCAGACAGATGGCAATAATTAGCACAGAACTCTAAACAGCTTTAATTTTTCCTCTAAAACCTTTTGGAAAATTTGACGTTATAAATAAAAGAAAAAAAAAAGGAAGCTTTTCCATAGTTACCACTGAGCGTACCAACGCTCCACTTGGTTTTGCTTTTCTCATAAGTCTATTGCAATTTTTTTTACTGTAGGATTAAGGATTTAATTAATCTGAGTGCAAACTCAAGTCTTTTATACATACTAAAAGGTCACTACATTATTAAAAGAACGCTAGAGAAAAAAAAAAGATTTGAAAGCACAGAAAGTTGTTTCTTTTTGGATCCAAACAGAAATGGTAGGTAATATTTTTCGTTTTGTATGTTTTGATAAAACTTTAGTGTGCGGTTAAAAATATGTAAAGTTGTAAACTACATCATCACTGAGATGCATCTAAGTACTTATACAAATAAATCTTAATGTTCTTTGAATGCAAAGTTTTAGACCATCATCATATAATGAGAACGGAAGGAGTTATTAACCCTTTATATGTTGACTGATGTCAATTAGCTGAGACTTTTTGAAAGTTTTATTAAAGATCTCCTTCATCTTTCAGCTGCAGTGAGCCATCCTGCTCCATTTATTTAAGAGGTTTCCATCTGTTTGAGTTTTAAAATCTAATATAAAGCATTGTGTTCAAACAAAAGTTTAAGTTTAGTTTGTTTGCTGCAGTACAATCTTTATTTTTGGCATCACCTGGACTGCTGCATCAGTTAGCAGCRCTGAAGTTAAACAGTGCTACTCCACTGTGACACCCAGTGGTTTTGCTATGGCTGCGCATTAAATTTTTAACCTGCTGCATAATATGCAAACATGGATGATTCCACGTCAACTCCACTGTTTAGTCAAATTGTTGTTGCAGGAAAAAAACAGTTTTAATCATCATAAAAAATGCTGAAATCATAACAATAATCTGGATCAAATAGACTGATGAAGTTAAAGAAAGAAAATAGAGTYTGAGGCTTAGAAATTCCAAATTCTTATGGTTTCTGTGCCAGAAAACAATATTGAAAATGTCAAAATGACTTTTTTTTTCTTTTTAGCTTGAATTGTATTACTGTAATGGCTTTTTGGATACCCCCTTTGAACAAGGAATACATTACACATGATTTATGAACCACTGGCTGTGATTAATGGAACCTTTCCTGATCAAATAACCATTCAGTTGCRCTTTACAAGTCAACAATTACCCAATAAGAAGAATAAAGTAAAGCTGTGTAAATTAACTTTCATTGATAGGCTTGTTGTTTTGACAAAAAATAGAACAAACAAACTAACGAACCATCATGTCTACAAACAATAATTAAGAAATATTAAATTATCAAACTGAAAGGTCCAAATAATGGAAAATGAAAAACTAAATGATACTAATCTTTTTATAATCTATAAAACCACGTCAAAGTCAAGTATTTCTTTGTAATTTGTTGTAATATTACAATAAAAGGAGGAGCAAATGACTAAAATCTGGTATTTTATCTGTTCTTTTGTGAACAAAAGCAGTTAACTTTATTCCAACCGCCTGACTTTGCTCAGARATAATCTTTGACAACTTCTGGCCCTTTTATATTCTGTAATTGGAAGKGGGTCTTGCACAGACCTCTGAAAAGCTGCCGCACAGTTTGAGAGAAAAGGAGGATTATTTAATARGCCCTATTTGTGATTTGCCTTCAAGGCGAGCGCTATCTAAAGGTGYGGGAGACACCGATGCCTGAGAGTGAATGTTCGCTGCAATTAGCCGTGTGCAGAGCTTGTAGCTGTCTGCGGTGCCAGCTCAGGGGCTCCTGCCTGAAACAGCACTTTAATTAACAGAACTGGGAATTCTTACGAGGCTGGAAGTGAAGTGGCCAAAGTGATGTCTTTATCCAGAAGTATGGGAGGGACTGAGTCCATACATCTGTGTGCACTGGATGGATGACATTTAGTATTTAGTGAAGTCTTATGAACACTTACAGGGCACTTTTATGATTGATGCTTTACTTCTGAGTGTTCTACACAAAGCCCAGCAACTTTAACTTTCATCATGCATGTTGGATAAATTTTTACTAAGAAATATTTYCATTTTGTGTAATAATTTCAAATTGCACAATTTAGTTTAATTGATTTCCACTCTAAGTTCTTTTTATAGTGACAACATGGCCACTGATGGTTTAATAAATTCAGCACCTGGATCAAATTAAGTTTAAAGGGGCAGTATTATGTGTTTCTCAGGCACACATTTAAATACCATACCATAATAAAGTATCTATGTCACCTTTAGCTCTTGTTAAAGGGCTGTTTTTATGTTTAAATAGAAAATAAACTTATCTTTTCATCACTTCCTCTTCTAAACGCCTTGAAATTTGCCTCTGTCTCTTTAAGAACCACCTTCCGCTTCTGTCTCGCCCGTTTTGGTGCGGGGGGTGGAGGGGAGTGCTGCCATGATGCAGCTTACGTGGCAACTGAAAATGCATTTCCTCAAAGGTATTTTGAATCTGAAAAGAGCTTCACTGAGTGAGAACCAAAGTTAGGAGCTCAGCAGACAGTTTAAGTTTCACTTTCACTTTCACCCGAAAGCCTGCAGGAGTCATGGGCGGGGTGTGTGGGGAGGGGGAAGGCGGGGGCGCTCTGTCATGAGGAAGCTCGGCTTAAAGACACGTCCCAGGGGCGTTTCTGGTCCCCACCTGTCGTTTTGCTCCCCAGCATGGCTGCCTAAAAACGCTGCAGGATTTCTCAAACATGCATGAATGAGTCAAAGCAAGGCTTTGGGCATGTTTTATATGAGAGTATAACATTATAACATGAAATAAAACTCAAAAAAGTTGATTTTACATGTTACTGCCCCCTTTAAACATTAGGACACTTTTACTGAATTCAAGTCTTGTCATTTATTGTGATGCCAGATWAGACTGAAAATGGGTTCATTCATAGGGAAAGAACATAAAAAGATGAGGGCAAAAAGCTTTAAATGGTTTTTCCAAGAGTGATAAAGACTACAACTATCAAAAAATTAAATACTAAGTGAAATAATATACACTTTCACTTTAAGTGAAATATTATTCTGTTAAAGTAAAAATGATCAACAATTACAAGTAACATTCTTGTATTTGTGACCATTTTATTATTATGAGATTATTATAACTCAAGCACTGAAAGAATGTACTRCTCCAGTTGAAGAAACATACATTTATTTAAGTTTGCATGTAATTATTAAGTTTTTTTGTTTCATGTTGCACAAGATTGATTAAAAATYAGAAATGTCATTGTTTGTAACATTGCTTTGTTTTGTGTAAAGAAAAACAAAATCTGATATTTTTCTCCCCAGCTCCTTTTATTAGTGATGATGTAAAACATGTAACATTTGAGATATATTCATTAAAAACGTAAAAGAAAAAGAAAGGAGTTAAAAGAAAAAGACACGACTTAAGGGCAGAGGTATTGTGTCTTCCTTGAAATTGGCCTCTGTCTCTTTAAGAACCTCCTACCGTTTCTTACACTCCCACGTCATCATAAAAACACTTCGGGGGAGGGGAGCTGAGTGGGGACTGAGCTCCAAGGAGGAGCTATGTAAAAATAGGCGGAGCTTTGTACCAGCAAATGTTTAGGCAGCTCCACAGGAGATTCAAGGATTTCTCAAACATGCATGAATGAGTCAAATCAACACTCTATGTTTTTGATGAGGGAATGACATTACATGATAAAGCTCAAAAAAGTCTATTTTGCATAATACCACCCCCCATCCCCCTTAAAACACATGTGCTTATTTTCATTCTCCCACTTCATGAAACAAATCAGTCTTTTTCTCCTTTATGCTTCCTGCCATTCCCTTAATGTAATATAATACATTAAAGTGTAAATCGCTCATTTTACAATGTACTGTTTGTAAATGGGATTTTAGCCTTGGAGACTTTGAGCGCATCTAAATGAGTGGCTTCTTTATGACCTCCTCTGTGGTCTATATGCATTCTGTTCAGTCTGAAACTATTAGACTTTCCCTCTCCTCCTCTGATTGTCTCTTGATGCCGACAGGAGTGACTGGGTGACGTCGTACAAGGTTATGGTTAGCAACGACAGCCACACATGGATCACACTGACAAACGGCTCTGAGGACTTGGTGAGTTGAACCTATCTTCTGGTGCAGTAAATCCAAACCAACAGAAAATCATTAACACACTRTCACCTTGAAAACATTGTTCCTTTTATTTTCCTCGCTCTGTTAACTAGCTACATAAGGAACCTAGTTAATTGCTAATTGGATCCAAAAGGAAAAAATGAAATATAGCTCCAGAGTAATTACTGGGGAAGATTCGGACGCCTGCTTATTTCCAAGCTTAATGAGCTGTGAGGTGATAGTAAATACTAATGGTTCTCCTGCAGATGGGAACTCATCTTCTTAGTCTGTTTCTTCAGTTCACTTTAAGTAATGCACAAACAGTCAATAATAACAAAGAAAATCTGTTTTATTTTTATTCAACAATTGTCAGTTCGCATTCCAACTAGGTTTAACGGTGCACTCCTGTGTCTGGTGATGTCATCCGTGTGGGTGATTAAACCCCCTGCAGTAATTTAAGCCTCGGCTACAAGCTCCCCTCTCACCCACTCGCCCACCCTTCGTACCAAATGCCAAGCTGCTCTGTTGGCCTTTCAAAATACCAGAAAAGGTTCAGAGAAGAACTCTGGCCGTGGGTGGTAAAATTTGCAAGGAACTCCTCGGGGTATAAAAGTTTCATGATCTGTTTGGGGGGGACGGGGGGTGTATTTGTGTTCTTGACCTTAGAAACCAAACCTTTTGAAGTGTTTGCTTTTGTCGTGTGCAGGTTTGATTTTTTTTTCTTTTAAGCCTCTACGGAGCCCGCGAGAGGACATGGGGGGATTTTTTTCTTTTGCTTTACCTCGCAATACCTTGGCGTTGCCTCGCAATACTTTTGCATTCATTTGCAATATTGTTTTGCGTTCCCACGCAAAAGTTTGATTTGTATATGAGCTGAATTAAATCAGACTTTTATTTTGAAATATCYGGTTACCAAAACTGGATGTGTCGCCACAAGTTCGTGAATTTGACATTGATTTTACGTGGCTGCACTGTGTTAAAATATCGGCACATGACATACTTCCATGCGTGGCTGTGTGATATATTCATTCTGAAGCTGAATTAAAGCAGTAGGCTAACTCGCTAATGGTAAACATGTGAGTTTGTTAATAGGCACAACAGTGATAAACTACTTTTGCAAGGGAACACAAAAGATATTGCGAGGTAACGCAATACTTTTGCGTGGGAAAGCAAAAAAATAAAAACAATCCCCCATGTCCCCTCGCGGGCTCCATATCAAAGTGATATTCTATCGAGATGATAAACAAATATTGTCTTACCTGCAGTAGATGGCTCTTTGAACGACCTCAGTTTGGAGAAATGCTCTAATTTTGACATGATTTATGAGCTGGTTAATTCATTCATTGCCTCTGCACCGTGTGTTTGCCTCAGTAGACATTCCGCGGAAACAGAGAAAAAGAAATCCCCGTCCGGAACGTCTTCCCCTCACCCGTGGTGGCCCGGTACATTCGGATCAACCCTCGCTCCTGGTTTTACAGCGGCAGCATCTGTATGAGAGTGGAAATCCTCGGCTGTCCTTTGCCAGGTGACGGGTCTTGTGAGCTTGAGTGGTTTGAGTCAAAGCGATTAGCAGCGGATGAAAGAYGTTTGGTTTTATGAGCTGGGTTTTGACAAACTGATGAAAGTTTGGCACAACTGGGATCTTGTTTCTAAGAAAATGCTGAGCTGTTAATGYGTGATTCATGAATGCCAGGAGGACAGTTTATACATCAAATTTAGCTGGCTTAAAGGAGACACATCATGCAAAATTCATTTTTTTAACTGTTAAACGCATTTTGTTGTGTACTTGRAGTTTCTAGGATTGAAGAAAATTTGAATTCAGTCTCTCGTAATGCTGTGTAGATATCTTTATACTAGTTTTCTGTTTTCTATTACCTCTTTTTTTTAAATTTCAAACAAAATGTTTCTTCCCCACATCTCTGCTATCAAATTAGAATGGGGTGCTCTGGAAGCTGCAGGGCCGKGTGTGTTTTAAATATTAAATCTTCACACACACAAAAACAAGCAAAGTTACAAACAATGATGACATTTCTGATGTTTCATACCAAATGCCAAGCTGTGCATTTAAAGAGACAGCCTCAAAATGAGTTGATCTGAAACACACGTCAGAAAAGGGGTGAAAGAGGGGTTTGTGGATTTACAATATGGAGGAATTCAGACCAAAACATTGCRGTTCCACTTTATATAGACCCCAACTGAAGGATTTAAAAGTTAAAAAGCAGGATTTAAAAGAATGATATATCTCCTTTTAAAAGTAGGCTGAATTTCAAAACTGGCTTCCATGCCTGGATTTGTCATTTAATAATCTTATGATGCTGAATCACAGCTAGTCACCGAGTGTCGTTCCAAACAAAGAAAATCAATTCACTTCTTTAAGTCACYGAATATCGATCGTGTCTAATCTGATTGCAGATCCAAATAATTATTACCACAGACGCAATGAGGTCATAACAACYGACGACTTGGACTTCAGGCATCACAGCTACAAAGAGATGAGGCAGGTGAGTCATGGGAATAGATAACATCTTGTTCTCAGGAAGCTTAGGATCGTGTTTTTTTATTTTTTATTTTTATGCAACGTTGTGTCAAACARCTAGCCAGCGCCACTTCTTTTGTTTTCTTTGGCAAAGAATGCAGCAGAACACATGAACACTTGGAGCAGCATAAAAAAGCACGAAGCACCTTCTGGGTTGTATCATTACTTATTCATTTAGTTGTCACTAGCAGAAGGAGGACAGCCGTGTTTGTCACAGTGCACACTGTGCCTGAGTGTCTGTGAATCATAATACTCTGTAATGTAGCATGTCTTGTTTATTTTATTTTATTTTTTTCACCAAGCGGTGGACTGGAAGTGTCCTGAGCTGCTGTTCGCCTCATCCACAGGAGCAGAGTTGTAAAGTAACTAAGTACAAATACTTTGTTACTGTACTTAAGTAGAATTTTCTGGGTATCTGTATTTTACTTGAGTTATTATTTTTCAGCCTACATTTTACTTCTACTTCTTACATTTTCACACAATTATCTGTACTTTCTACTCCTTACATTTTTTTAAAAAGGCAAGAAGTGCAAAGTTGTTACTTTTAATTCATTTTTGCTTGTTTTCATTCCAGCTTATTATTGTAAAAAATAAATACTATCCATATAAATTGTGCCTCCTATAGAGTGAATTTAATTGTGGTTGAATGAGAAGTATAACTATATAAAATTCTGATACCATATTAGTTTGTACACAAACAAATCATGTCACACTCCAGCAGGACATAATCATTAAAATAAAAGTTTTTACTTAAGAAGTATTTATATTTCATTAATTATATTATTGCATTTGGCCACAGCCTTCAGATAAATTTTCATTTTGGAGAAATGTTTTGAGCAACCTTGATATATGTGTATAAATTGAAACAGCTGGACTAGTGCATCCTAAATTCAACATAAATTATTTTAATACAACAGTCATTTCTTCATTGTTTTGGGGGCTCACCTCCTAATAAATGTCATTACAGAAAATCTAACTGCTCATTTTAAATCAATACTTTTACTTTTAATACTTAAGTACAAAATAAATCAGATATTTTGAGACTTTTACTCAAGTAATATTCCTAAAGGAGACTTTAACTTTTACCAAAGTATTTTTGGTAAAATACTTGTACTTTTACTCTAGTAATATTCCTAAAGGAGACTTTAACTTTTACCAACGTCATTTTTTGGTAAGATTATTGTACTTTTACTCAAGTATCACTTTGTGGTACTTTATACAACACTGCACATGAGACATTATTCAGCTTAAATTTAGTCATTTGTCAACCCAAGATAATCTTAGTTGAAATTTAGCACAAAAGGAGGTGGACAATTTACAATTTTGCAAGGGATTCTACAGCCTTTACTTTCTTTTTTTTATGTTTCCTTTGAGGTTAATGTGTGCCGCAGAGTCTACAGCCTCAGCAGGGCTTTACAAAGAAAGGAAGAACTATTTTTAAAGACTCTTTTTCAAAAGCTTTCTCACCCTTGACATTTCGCTCTTTTGTGTAGAACAGGTACCATATCTCCCCCTTTTGTCTGCAGCAGCTTTAATAGTGCCGTGCCAGAACTTTTGAGAGGAGGCAGCCTTCTCAAAAGTAAAGTACATGCCCCACGAGAGTAAAAAAGACATCCTTTAAATTGTTTAAGGACTGTCCTTTTATAAAAAAAGAAAATCACACCTGCAATGGGGAATAGGTCAGCACAGCATACTGTAGAAAATAAAAAAAATATCCCCAGCGTTTTTTTAAAGAAGAAAAATGTGCAGTTTATAGAAAAAAAAAAGCAAAATGTTTTGTATTGATCCAGGTAAATAAAGCTGGTGTGTTTATCAGGGGAACGCGGAGCTTCATTAAAGTGAGAGCAGTACTTTCACCCTCGCCTTGTAATCTTTTTTTCCCCATCGACAAACCTGACATTTGTTTGGTGATTTACTTGTTTGGAGAAGTCAAGATTGAACCCACCTTTAATTAAAAGCTCATCACACCTGAGTGCTAAACGACTTCCGCAGCAGCTGGAGCGGCGAGTCGACACAGATTTCCGGCACTAATGCAGCCTCTTCATTTCACAGCTGGTTGGTCTTTTTGCTGCTGCACTTCTCTGTGTGACCACTGATGCCCAAAAGGGTAAATAATAATAATTGTTTCTATTTTAATCAGTTCCTCTGTCAGCCTGTCGTTATAATTGCTTTGACTGGTTCTCTTATAGTCAGTCTGGCTGGAAACTAAAACAAGCCTGTGACAGAACTGATTTAAAACACCCAATATAAAAAAATGATTTATGCTAAATTAACTCTTCACAAAACCCTTGCAGCAATAAAGTGAGAGCCTTCTGAAGACATTAAAGTATAATTTACCATATGATTTGTAAATGTTGCTTTGAAGAACCAACCTATCTGACTGATTTAATTGCTGCTAAATCCTCATTGGTGCGTTCATGTACCCAGTATCCCTTTTTCTTTCTTTTTTTTCTTATTGAACCCTGCTCCCGTATTCATAAATGCTGACAGTTCTTTATTTGCCTCATTATTTAGCTAAACTCATGACTTGAGAGCTTTTGATCATTCAGTTAATTAGAACTATTTATTTGAATGACAGGTGATTTAATCCGTCCGTCCATTATCTTCTGCTTATCCGGGATCAGGTCGCGGGGGCAGCAGCCAAAGCAGAGACCCAGACTCCCTTTTCCTCAGCCACTTGGACCAGCTCCTCCAGGGGAATCCCGAGCTGTTCCCAGGCCAACCGAGAAACATATTCCCCCCAGCGTGTCCTGGGTCTTCCTCTGGGCCTCCTCCCAGTGGGACATACACGGAACACCTCACCAGGGAGGAGTCCAGGAGGCATCCTAACCAGTTGCCCGAGCCACCTCAGCTGGCTCCTCTCAACGTGGAGGAGCAGCGGCTCTACTCTGAGTCCCTCCCTGATGACTGAGCTTCTCACCCTATCTCTAAGGGAGAGCCCAGACACAGAAGGAAACTCATTTCAGCCGCTTGTATCCATGATCTCGCGACCATAGATGGGGGTAGGAATGTAGACCGACCAGTAAACCCAGAGCTTTGCCTTCTGGCTCAACTKTCGCTTCACCAGGACAGACCAGTACAGCGCCCGCATCACTGCAGACGCAGCACCAATCCTCCTGTCGGTCTCCCCCTCCATTCTTCCCTCATTCGTGAACAAGACCCAGAGATACTTAAACTCCTCCACTTGGGGCAGGACCTCCTCACCTAGAGAAAGCAGCCTACCCTTTTCCAGCTCAAGACCATGACCTCGGATTTGGAGGCACAGATCCTCATCCCGTCCGCTTCACACTTGGCTGCAAACCGCTCCAGTGAGAGCTGGAGATCAGGATCTGATGAAGTCAATAGGACCACATCATCCGCAAAAAGCAGAGATGCGATCCTAAGGTCACCAAAAAGGATCCCCTCATCACCTCGGCTGCATCTAGAAATTCTGTCCATAGAAGTTATGAACAGAATCAGTGACAAAAGGCAACCTTGGCGGAGTCCAGMTCTCACTTCTCAGCTGTTTTAATGTCCTTGTTAAATACAGCAACTGGAGTATAATTTGTGGAAACCTTTCCTTGCCTTAGTGTTTTTTAATGCAGTTTATTTTGCTGCATCAGAAAAGCAAACATGATGCTTTTTTAATATTATTTTGTTTTTGGCACTTTTCAGATTTCTTTCAAACGAAAACTGCTGTTCCCTAAATGTTTGTGACAAATCTAACTGCACTATACGAAATGAAAAGTTGAGCAATTTACTTTATTTTAAAGAAAATGTGTTAATTGTTAGGTGACATAATTTAAGTAAATTCAACACTTAATTTTGTACAGTATATCAAGTCTTTCTTTTTAAGAGCATTTAACTCTTTTATATTAAACTAAAGAGTAATAAGAGTAAATGCTTTATTTGTTTACCCTYTACAGCTWATGAAAGTGGTTAATGAAATGTGCCCCAACATCACCCGGATCTATAACATAGGAAAATCCCAGAGCGGCCTCAAACTGTACGCCATTGAGATCTCTGACAACCCAGGAGAACACGAAGTKGGTGAGTATCTAATGCGACACAATAACCTGATATGATCACATTCATGAAGCCATAGTTGAGACGATGTGCATAATTAATCCCCCTCTGTCTTTCTCCCGTTACACCCTGCGCATAATCCTGTTGACCAGGCGAACCGGAGTTTCGTTACACAGCAGGTTCTCATGGTAACGAGGTGTTGGGAAGAGAGCTCCTCCTCCTGCTGATGCAGTTCATGTGTTTGGAGTATCTATCTGGCAACCAGCGGATCCGTCACCTGGTGGAGGAGACCAGAATCCACCTGCTGCCGTCCGTCAACCCTGACGGGTACGAGAAAGCCTTTGAAGCGGTAGGTCCGCACGACAACCATGAGCGACCTCAGCTCGTCAGCTGCGTTTCGGCTATAATTTACCATTGATAATTGTGCTTCACTTAAATCAGTTGAAGGCTGAGATGAAAGACCACATTTTAATGAAACATGAATTGATGAAGACAATCAAAGAGCACCGGCTTGTTCGATAGAAATCAAATGATCCTCCACGTCATTTGGTGAGCTCRGGTACAAACACAAACTAAGGATGTGTCTCAATAAAAACTGTCATGTCAGTTTGTATTTAACAGAAAACACACGTTAAATATGATGAACTTATTCAACCCTGTAAGTTAAAACAGTCAAAAAGCTTTCTTTCAGCTCCAATAGTCATATTCAGTCCAGGCTGTTGCAGTAAGTTCACYTTTTAAAGCTAATTACTTGAATCTGATTAATTTACTATGTGAAAAAAATTAGCAGTAGTACAATTGATCATATAGTTCAACAATTTAAGCTTCTTTTGACTCAATTTGCAATAAGCAGAGCGAAAAAAAAAACAATCAGTTAGCCCTTGTATGTAACAGGCCTAGAAAAACTGCATGTTCTGCAGTGTGAGTGTTGAKTGCTTAACGSTTCAAAGAGGCGRAACATTAGYTAAAATGAACAAAATGCTRTCTAAAAGTAGCTAAAATTAGCAAACCACYAGCTAAAAGCATCTTCTTGTATTTCCACACCTTCTGCAACTGACTCTAATAATTCTGTCAAATCTATTTTGCATCAATACAACTTAACAATTGCTCCTCAAACCATCATATATTTTATTTTTTTTCTACATATGTGACTCATCACATCGAAACAAGGATTAAGTCCAAAAGTGGGATGTGGAGAAATAGGCAGATATAGGGTTTTGATTTTAATGTGTGCAAAAATTGCATTTTGTCAAATTATAATGAATTAATGCCTTATAAATGTATCATTTGAATGAACTGTCGGTATAATCCTGAATAAATGTTTTGAAGCATTTTTTTGAGCAGTAGCAACAAATAAAAAACAGATTTTGAGGAAAAACGCCTAAAATGTTGAATTTTTCTCTGTGAGCTGCAATGTTTTGGTTTCTTTCTAACTGGGAAATCTTAATACAAAAATGCTATTTGATGTTTCCTCTTCATATTAACATCAAAAACACTCAATAAATTTACATAAAATTAGGATTCAGACCAAACAGTAATTATAATAACCAACAAACCAACCAGCATTATTATAACCAACAAGACAAATTAAGTCATATCTCTGGATAAGCTTGTGATTTCAGAATGATCCAGTTATCAAAATGCAGCTTTTAAAGCCAGAAATCTGAAAATGTAATTAGGTCATTTTGACCAAATTTGACTCAATCCTCATTTCGATATGATGGGTGTGTAACTTTTTAACACAGGGTTCAGAGCTCAGTGGCTGGTCTCTTGGTCGATGGTCCAACGATGGAATAGACATTCACCACAACTTCCCTGATCTCAACTCCATCCTGTGGGAGGCTGAGGCCAAGAAGTGGACTCCTCGCAAAACGCTCAACCACCATGTAGCCATCCCAGAATGGTACCAGTCAAAAAATGCCTCAGTGAGTCCAACCGATTTACAGATTTGTGTAAAACTCAGGGAATTTCAGTCTTTCCATGCTGGCAGATTTAATCTTAGTTTAGTCTTGAAAAGTGGACAGGCTGGTTTGCGTGCTGTATGTTCTACATGAAGCTCTGTGGTACCTGCACATTATAGACTTTAAATAGACACACATTCACATATACATTATATACTGAAAATGCAGAAATGGATGGGGTTTGCCAATGCTATGTTTTGCAGAACAATCACAAGTGTCCACTAAATCCTTTCTAAATACTAACTAGTAGTATTAAAAATAAAAACTTACTTCTCAGACAGGAAGTAGTTGGTGTTGATCTAAAACTAGTGTTCTAGTAGAAACACTTTTCTTATGGCAAAAAACAGGCCACCTCGCTGAGTTGTAGTCTGGCATTGTCTTCTTTTCCTGCACCTCCCACCTCCACAGTAACAAACAAATCTCCCAGTAAAGACCGTCATCCGTTTGAAAAGGGTACAGCAGTCACGAGGGGCGCATCAGCACCGTCTATTTTGGGCGAAGCAGATGAGTTTGCTGTGTGTGACGCAAAGGCTGAGCAGAAATACACAGAGCGTTCTATTAAAAGCTCCCCCCTCTTCTCACCAGTGTTTTGACGTTGGTGGGAGCTGTGGATGAGTCACACACAGCCTCCAGAATAGCTGCTGCAGCTGCAGGACTGGGATTCCCATCTGTGCTCAAAAAGCAGCGAAACCTATCCTTGTTTGCCCCGCTGGCTGGTCCAACCAGWGCTCGACGATGAAAAGGCTGGTTTTATCAAACGGGCCTGGCAGCTTGGATAATTGCTGATCGCTGGATTCTAGCTGGGTTGTAAAGATTTACGAATTAGAGTCATTATTCCMGAGATAATTGTACAGCACGGACTGTGTAAACAGCCTTTTTGATAGCTTTATTGCATCCCTTTGAGAGCACATCGCAGTGAGATAATTTCAGCACAAGGGAGTTAATTTAGAAATCACTGCTTAGATGATTGTACTGATTACATTAACCAAGCCCCTTGTTTGCCCCCCCCCCCCCCCCTACAGGTTGCCTTGGAGACACGAGCTCTGATAACATGGATGGAGAAAATGCCCTTCGTGCTGGGTGGGAACCTCCAGGGAGGCGAGCTGGTGGTGACCTTCCCGTATGACAGAACCCGCACCCAGGGGGTGGCCATGGAGCAGACCCCCACCCCCGACGACCACGTCTTCCGCTGGCTGGCCTTCTCCTACGCGTCCACCCACCGACTGATGACCGATGCCAACCGACGGGTCTGTCACACAGAAGACTTCGCCAAGGAGGACGGCACCATCAACGGAGCCTCCTGGCACACGGCAGCTGGAAGTTAGTGTCCGTGTTCATTGGGGTTGTTGAGTCACTAACCCAAACACCTCACCATGAAAGTTATTTTCTGCTCAGCATGGAACTTCTGAGTTTCGCCAACCTATGAACGTGTAAATTGAGTACTTTCACCCCACTTCTGGTTTCAGCCTGATGCATCATGSAATATTTCAAACTTTTTATCTAAAGAAAAGGCAATGTAAAATAAAACCTACTTTCATTTCTCCAGCTCATTAATAGCTTACCACACTGTAGTTTTTGCTTTTAGATGTCTTTAACAGTGCGTTCTGAAGCAACACCTTAGTACACTATAGTAACCACATAACAAACTGCAACCAAAAATTCACATTAATATGAATAAGAGGGAGACCTGTCATTTATCATTTAAAGTAGGTCTGTTTCAGTATCATTAAAGACCACAAAGTCATTTATTGTGTCAGCTGGTTTATAGACTAATAAATGGATGACAACACTTAAATATGCCACACGAGCCTGCTCAGTAAAAAACCTGAATAATCCGCAGTGAATTTAGTCAGGTTGTTTTTACAAAAATGTGCCAATTATCTATTTCCCTTTTGCTTCTGTGAATGAAATCTAGTTTAATGAATTATGGATATGTTTTACAAAAAACAAAACTTTTGCGTTCTTTGATTGGCAATTCATGGGTGGCAAAATGTTTTTTTTTTTTTTTTTGTTTGTTTTTGGTTTTTTTTTTTTTCAGCAGCTTTTAAGCAAAAGTTAAAAAGCTTCACTTTACCCCACGGTCCAGTACAGCAATTCTGAGGGGAAAATGAAAAAAAAAAACATTAATTAAAATATTGACTTATCTTCCTAATTGACAATTATAAGGGTATAAGGCAAGAATTGTTACTCAAGAAGGAATTAGACCTTCATTGTTTTTCTTAATGTATTTTGTACATTGTAAATTGAAGATTTTTTGATTGAAATTATTTATTTGAGGAAAAGGGGCAGAAATCAAAAGATTTTTTTTTCTTCTTCTGCTACCTTTCATGTAATTTATGTTTTTTTTGCATGTTGAATTTATGTTGTTTTGTTTTAATTGAATAAAATTAATAATAATAATAATAATAATAATAATAATAATAATAATAATAATAATAATAATAATAATAATAATAATAATAAGATGTGTCTTAAATATGCTAAGTATGTTGACTTTTGAGGGTGTTAAAATTGTAGCACTAGGTTCCTCCATGTTCAAATATTTCTAAATCATTGTAAAGTGTGTCATTATGAAATTTAATTATAGGGTTCACAATTTTCTTTCCTCCCTGCAATTTAAACCATGGATTTGTGTCTCTTTCCTGACAGGCATGAACGATTTCAGCTACTTGCACACCAACTGCTTTGAGCTGTCCATGTATGTGGGCTGTGACAAATTCCCTCACGAGAGCGAGCTGCCAGAGGAGTGGGAGAACAACCGCGAGTCTCTTCTTGTTTTCATGGAGCAGGTACAAAGCCAGCTCATTTGTCAACACAAAGAAACTTCCTTTTGTGTGCAAAAAAAAACATAAGATGCCTTTTGAAGTGGGGTGTTGGAAAAGTGAACTCGAGCTAACAACTCTTGCAGGTGCATCGTGGGATCAAAGGTGTGGTCAGGGACCTACAAGGTCGTGGAATAGCYAACGCCATCATCTCTGTGGAGGGCATCAGTCACGATGTTCGCACAGGTACATTCCTGCGTTTCTCTTCAGTAACTTCGGCTGTTTGTGKTTAATCCAAGAGTGTCCTCGAGGGCCSCTATCCTGCAGGTTTTTCTGCTTCAACACACTTCATTTGAATGATTGGGTGATTAACAGGCTTCTGCAGAACTTGAAGAGGTAGTTCAATCAGTGAACCAGGTGTGTTGGAGCAGGGAAACCAGTAAAACATGCAGCGGTCCTCGAGGACCAGTGGTACACCTCYGAATCAACTTGTGCTTCCAACTATGACCACAAAGATATTTTAATTATTTTCGTGTGGTCAAAGTGTGGTTTTTCAATCATCTGCAGAAAATACCTCATTGCTGCTTTGATTCAACTATCTCCATGTCAGTTTATTCTTTTGGCTGCTGGTTGGTATTTTGTAAGATTGAATAAACGGCATAAACCAAAACATCTGATATAATTGGAACCGTTGATTGGAATCAGATTCCTGAAAACAACGAGATCTCTGATTGGGAAGGCAGTTTCTTAAAGCTACAGCTGACAAAAGTCGCTTTATTCTTAGAGYGTGAAATCAAATTATTGCAAAGTCATTAGACTGGATTATTCCTGGAACTGAGAATAAGTCACTGCTTCCTTTCAGAATCCTTGTTACCCTCAGACGTAGGAAAGTATTTAGGCAATATGTTTAGAAAAATATTATTTCTCAGCTGCTTTGAATTCATTTTATAACTGCATGACTTTTCAGAAAACAGACATTTATAATGAAGATTTGTTTTCCTGCTCAATGAATCAACTGTGGAGCAAGTTTTATTTACTGTATATAGTCAAGAATTCCCAGGTTTTTAATTTTTTTTTTTTTTGCGGGAAAAAAAATCAAAATTTCTCCTTAGTAGTAGTTATTTTCAATTCATTTATATTTGTGTGTTTTATGGCTTGGGTTGATCTCAAATTAGTAGCTCCAGTTTCTTTGGCCACCAAAATTGTTTTTCGAAGAAATTTTTAGCACATTGATCTAATAATTAGTCTCTTGTGTGCAGAGGAGGCAACTTAATCTCAAAAGAACAGCCACATATTTGCTTGCTTTTAGTTTTCCAAGCTGATTGGTTTTACTCATAAAAAATAACAGATGTGCATAATCACATAGGACTTTATTTTGTTGAAAAGACGCAGGAAGTGTAACTTTAAAAACAACTAAACTTGGAACAGAAACATCGGCCTCTCTCTCTCTGTGCATGTGTGTGTGTGTGTGTGTGTGTGTGTGTGTGTGTGTGTGTGT